GTGCGTGTCCACGTTTGACCGTTTATGTCCCCATGCACATGTCCATGCTTGGCTATGTGGCCCTGCGTGCACATGTTTATGTCTGGACATGGGGGAGTCCTGTGCACCTGGGTTCGTGCACACACATGTCCTGCCCAGGTGTGGTGAAGCCAGACAGGTACAAGCCAGTGCCAGACGAGCCTCCAAACCCCACCAACGTGGAGGAGACACTGCGGCAGATCCAGGCCAACGACGGGGCCCTGGAGGACGTCAACCTCAACAACATCAAGGTGAGAAGCCTGGCATGTGTGTCCCTGAGGTGTCCCATCCAGGGGTGTCCCTGGGGCATCCCTGGGGTGCTGATCCCATCTGGGGGCATCCCCAGGAGGCTGCTCACTGTCCCAGGGTGCTCCTAGGGCACCCTAGGGTGCTGATCCATGTCCTGGGGCATTCCCAGGGGGCTGGTCCCTGTCTTGGAGTGTCCCTGGGATGTTCCCAGAGTGCTGGTACAGTCCTGGAGCGTCCCTGTTGTGCTGGTCCCCATCCTAGCATGTCCACAGGGCATTCCCAGGAGCTGATCACCATCTTGGCGCATTCTCATGGGGCAGGTCCCTGTCCCACAGTGTCCCAAGAGCACCCAAGGGTGCTGGTTCCTGTCCAGAGCATCCCTGAGGCACATGTCCCTATTCTGGGTGCCTCTGGGGTGCTGGTCCCCGTCCAGGGGTGTCTATGGCATATCTCCAGGATACTGGTCCCCATCTTGGGGTTTCCCCAGGGCATTTTCAGAGTGCTAGTCCCCATCCCAGGGTGTCCCTGGACTGTCCTCAGGGTGCTGGTCCCTGTCTCAGGGGCCACAGGGTGTCCCTGTGGAGCAGCCAGCCAAGGATAGCACAGTTCTTTCCTGGGGTCAACTGGTTTCTGCCCCCTGCTCGTCTGTCCCTCTATCCACACCTCTATGTCACCCCTCCCCTACACATGCCCCTAGTCTTTGGTAAGACCCCTCCAGCTGCTTGGTGATACCCATATTCCGTCAGGGATGCTTATGTCCCCTTGGTGACATCCCACATCCCCTCAGTGACACTTACATCCCCTTGGGACATCCTGCATCCCCTCGGAAATGCCTCCATCCCTTGGGTGATATCCACATCCCCTCGGTGACATCCTTGTCCCCCCACCACAGGACATTCCCATCTCCACGTTGAAGGCCATCTGCGAGGCCATGAAAACCAACACCCATGTCAAGAAGCTCAGCCTGGTAGCAACCCGCAGCAATGACCCTGTGGCCAGCGTGAGTCCCAGGTCTCCTCCACTGTGTCCTAGACACAGAGGGGACACGGTCCTCTTCCCCTGGCTCCATATGGGAGGCACGGAACTGCCAAGACCACGCAGCAGTGGCTTTTCCGCAGTTCCCCAGCACCATGGAGGTGTTGGCAGTCCAGAATGTGCCAGTGGGAGAAGTGTTGGCCCCTGATGACACCCCAAGGTGACACTCAGCTCTTACAGGCCGTGGCAGAGATGCTGATGGAGAACAAGACCCTGCAGAGCCTCAACATCGAGTCCAACTTCATCACTAGTGCCGGCATGATGAGCATCATCAAGGCCATGTACCACAACAGCACCCTGAGGGAGCTCAAGGTGGACAACCAGGTAGGGATGGGTAGCCATGGGTGGCCTAGGGTGATCATGGGGGGGGGTGTCTAATATCCCACTGGTGCAGGGTAGAGGGGTGCGTACTGGTCCCAGCTTACTCAGTTGGGTCTGTGCCCCGCAGTGCCAGCGGCTGGGTGACACAGTGGAGATGGAGATGGCCACGATGCTGGAGCAGTGCCCTTCTGTCATCCGCTTCGGCTACCATTTCACACAGCAGGGACCACGGGCCCGTGCTGCCAGTGCCATCACCAAGAACAACGAGCTCCGTGAGTGCCTTGGCTGCACCTGCTCTGGGGCAGAGCGGCCTAAAGCAGATTGATCCCCTGCAGCTCCAGGGAAGGAATCAGGGAAGGGGGTCCCATTGCCAATCCATTTTTCCCTCTGCCCTGCAGGTCGTAAGCAGAAGAAAACATAATCTGCTGTGGCTCCACATCCCCATGGCTGCTGTGGCGCCCCAGACACCGTGTCTCAAGGCAGCCGCCTGGAGCTACAGTGCATGCTCAGCTACCGACCCTGCTGCAGAAACAAGCTCCCTGGGAGCCGAAACCTCTGTAAATAAAGAGCATGGAGGGACGCAGACTCGGGGCTCTGCTCGTGGCTGTGGGGGATGAGGTCGGACACTGGTCCAGGGTGCGATTTGGGGGGTGCAGGGAACCCTGCAGATTAGCTGAGCAAGGGTGAGAGTCCCAGAGAGGTGCAGATTCTGGGCTACCCTGCTTTTCAGGACCCTCACTAGCCTCGAGCCATTAATCCAGGGCTCGTTAGGGTGGGGAAAGGGGCTGAGATGGACACCTAGGTCCCTGTGACGCAGGGTGTGACGAGTTGGGAGCCAGCAGGCCCTGTGGCTGGTGTATTTATACCCAGGGGATTGGGTTACGGGCTGGGGTGAGCAGGGGGAGTGGGGCACCCCCATGGTGAGGAGCTGGGTGCCCCCATGGCACAGAGCCACGCACCTGGGTTTGTGGAGGCCAGTGAGGTGGGGGGGGGCACAGGGACCTGGGAACAGCCCCCAGGCATGTACCAGGCTTGGCCTGGCTCCTGTCAGGGCTCTGGCACCCAGTCCATCACCTATTTATAGGCAAGGGTAGATCCCAGTGCCCAGGTGTAACATCACCCTGGGCGGTGCTACCAGGGAGCCCACAGCCCTCCTTGGGGTCAGGGTCTGGCCCCATGCTGGACCCTTCAGCAGGTGCTTCTCCAGGGCTGCGGTTGCCAGCTCAGGGTGCTGGGAGGGAACAGGCTCTTAAACAACAGTCCCATGGGTGCCATCCCGATGTGGGGGTACCTGCAGGACCTAAGTGCTGGCAGGCAAAGGAGGGGTGGGGAAACTGAGGCAGGGGGAGCAGAGGGCAACAGGGCCAGGTACTTTCCAAAGGACTAGGACAGCTGCTGGGAAGGAGGAGGAGGGAGCCCAGTGCTGCCACCCCAAAAGGTCATGACCTGGAGACACCTGCCAGCAGGCAAAAAAGAGAGCGTGACTTGGGTCAGGGACAGGATGGAATGGGGTGGAGAGGAGCCGAAGCCAGAGTCGAGGTTGACAGTATCCCCTGCTGCTCTCAGCGCTCTGGACACAGTGAGGACACCCCAAAAAACATACAGTGCTGAGCACCTCATGGTGCCTGAATGATGGGATCCCTGAACACCACCCGACTCCTCCCCACGCCACTCACACCAGCACATCCTGGGGCCTCCCCGTAAAGAGATTCCCAACAGCTCAGACACTTCCTTCACCTCCAGCTGCCTCTATTAACATGGAAAGTGGGGAGGGCTGGGTGCATCCCCGGGGCACCATCCCTGCGAGGACCGGCAGGACAGAGAGAGGCCTCAGGCCGGCAGCAACACGGGCGGCTCATCCTCAGCGGATTCAACGTGGGCATTCTCGTCCTTCACCCACTTGCCAGAGTGGTCCTGGATCCAGCCGGCACTGGGGACGGATAGATGGAGAGTGAGATGTGGCTCATTACAGGGGTCCCCACTGACGCAGGGAGTGGCTCACCTCCGGAGCTGCAGGTACCGCTCCAGGGCCTGGCGCCTCTTGGGGTTGAGGGCTTCAGGCTGGCTTGCAGGCGATGGCGAGGCTTTTCCTTTGCCACCTTGCTGGGTCTGGGTGGTAGCTGCCTTTGGTACGTCTGGGAGAATGGAGAGGAGCATGAGCTGGCGAGACCCGCAGAAAAGAGAGAAACCAAGGCAGGGCCAGGGCTGCAAACAAGCCGAAACCCGGTGGGCTTTCTCATTGGCACCAGTGCTGACCCAGAGCCACTGGCCCACTTTTACCTGCTCGCCCGCTACAGCACCCTGGCAGCAGGGCCACTGGGGTGGTGCCCACAGCCTCCTTGATCTTCTGCGAGGGGACTCTGGGCTCTGGAGAGGCCGTGGCAGCGATTCGCACAGGGGCGGTGCTCAGCTCCGTCTGGGTCATACCTGCTCTTGAGCCATTTCCATTCACCCTAGGATGGGAGAGGCGTGACGCCCAGCTCCAGCCATCACCGCCTAAATGTCATCCCACGAGTGCCTGTTACCAGCTGGGGGATGGCAGCCAAGGAAGGGGCATTCCACAGAGTGCGAGTCGGTAATGACAAAGCTGCACAAGGTGGAAAGGTGATGCCCACTCACTTCATTCACCCCTGAGAGGGCAGGAACCCCCAAGATCTTACCCCATCCTCCGGCAGCAGCTGCTGTAGGGAGCAGCTTTCAGCAGAGCGCTCTGGGCTATCCTCCTTGTTCGCACCAGCAAAGGGGCTGGAGAGCCCTGGGGGGAAAGGGGACCAGTCTGGTCGAGGGTCTAGTGGGGAGGGGAAGGGGCATCTGCACCCACCTGTGTGCCTGCCTCCTCCGCCCGCACGAATTTCTCGTGCTGTCGCTTTTGCACCTCGTTCTCAAGTGAGTGCTTCCTGCCGTAGAAGCTCTGCAGGCCTAGAAGAGAGTGAGAGGGTCGTGGGCCGGCCTGGTGCAGCAGCGGCCTCCCCCTGCCAAGCCTGTGCACTTACTGGCAACGTGTTTCTTGCCAGCCCTGTGGACCGCCAGCACATCCAGAGTATCGAAGATGGGGCGGTGGGCACACACGGTGCAGGTATACCTGTGTAGGGGAGGAGACGCCGTCAGGCTCGCCCATCTCCGCACTCGGAGACTGGCAGAGCAGTCCCTGGTGGCAAGAGAGGTTTGAGTCGTTCCAGCTGCCCAGGCCCACGGAAGCTCAGGGTTTGCCCACCCACATGGATCCCATTCACCTCCCACTCCTCAGCAGCACTGCCTCGTCCTCAGGGATATAGTTGGCGAGCAGGTCCGCGACGCGTCGTTTCTGAGAGGGACAAACAAGGTCACGTTAGCTGCTGCCGGAGGCGGTTTCTGCCTATGATTCACCCTGCACTCTCACCAGTCCAAGTGGGACAGACCAGGGGATCAATCCTCACCCATAGCCCAGCCACACCACGGACCCATCCACCCTTCAGCCAGGAAACCTGGGCACCCGGGGGACCCCTAAAGGGGGCAGCAATGATGAGGAGCCAGCTGGGAAGGGGGTGC